GCCCCAAAATAATTACACAGAAACTGTATTCTTTTAAACACTGCCTGGCCCGTTATCTGTAGCCTCTTATTGGGTAGCTCTTACATATCGATATAACCCATTTCTAATATCCCGGTAACACCAGGAGGTGTCTTACCAGGGAAGATCTTAACCTGCATCTGTGTCCGGTAGGAGAATCATGGCGACTCCTTGACTCAGCTTCTTTCTCCCGGCATTCTGTTCTGTTTACTCCGCCTACCTAAGGGTTGGCCTATCAAATGGGCCTAGGCATTTTCTTTATTAATAAGAAATCAATCCCACATCACTTGTGGAATATGTCTTGCCTTGCCATAGAGAGCTTAAAGCTGGAACATGAGGAAGGTTCCCACCCTAGGCATTGGGCACATGGGGTACATGTTAGCATGTGCCATTTGTGATGGTAACACATCTGACTGTAGCGCTGAGACATTCCAAAGATATTCTCTCTTATAGTGCTAATAATACTCAACGTGCGAGGCCAAACATACATTTGAGATTCATGGTGGTCATACAAGTCTTTGTCTGAGCCGGCGTGTGTTGCAAATTTAAGGTGACAACTGTTAATAACTGTAAATACAGACTTAACAAGGGACTTTTACAGCCCCAGAAAAAGGGGTAGCTGTCAGTTTACTATGGTTAATGACAGGAAAATGCATTCACTGAGAACTGAGAGTTATTTAGGCTCTAAAGTTCCTGGCCCTCCGTTCAAACCTGCTACCATCCCAAGAGGAGGCTGTAGGACAGAGACTCAAGGCTCATCTGAAACTGAGAGACACACGTCTTTGCTTTCTGTGTTTTTGACAGGATTTCCTGAATAGAACATATGGGCATTCTGTTGCTGCGTGGATCGGACTGCACAGAGAGTCATCAAAGCAGCCTTGGATGTGGATAGACAATACTGAATATAAGAACTTGTATGTTTTCAGAAAGCTTTTTCTTTTACTATGTTCAAGTGTTGTGATTGTGTGAGTTATTGTGCAAGCTGAAATGCTGAGTCATATGAAGAGAACTCAACTTGAAAGGGAGAAACCCTTGGGCTGGAGGTGTGCCTTGGGTCTGGTTGTATGTTACATAGAGTCTCCAGTATCCACATCTTGGCAAATTTACATCTGTCAGAGTCACCTAGTGTTGTTTCACTCCTAATCTTTAGCCTGATGATGGCATCTGGGGAAGATGCTGTCTGCTCTCAGCACTTAGAAATCTTTCCTTGCTGAAAACTGCCCTTGTGGGATGCAGACAGAACTGCTGATGGCCACTAAGGGCTCTGAATCCCCGGGAAGCCACTGCAGAACTGCTGGATAGGACTTGTCAAACAGCTGTGCGCACAGCTGCTTCTGTCACTGAAGCAGAGACTTCATGGGTTTAGGGAACCTTCTCTAAAGTCTCATCATCAAAGGGCACCCAGGACAGTGTTTGGATGTGAGCATAGCCATTTTGAACAGACCCATTCTCTGGCACAGTGAATGTCCATCATTAAAGACCTTTAGAATTAACTAAGTGCATTTTCACCCCCTTTCGTACATGTGAGAAATTCTTCAAGATAGAATTGAAAACCGCCTTGCAATGCTACCCATGGCTGAATGAAGTTCATGTGAACATGGCAGAGAGCAGCAGTCAAATGCTTTGTACACACAGTACAGGGTCCAATATGGATGAATGACAAAGGAATGGTAACCAAGTGGAACCCTGAGAATGAAAAAGTCACTAGGTGTAACACTAGTGCTGGTGGTTTCTCTTGGACTCTGCCTTTCTGTGATTAGTGCTATAAACAAGCAGTGGACATGAGTGAGATATCATTGCTGGAGGGAATGCAGTGGCCGACTCTGCAGACATTTTGTTTGTTTTTTGTTTTAGGACACTCATCCGAGGAGTTGGAAACCATGCCTACCTGAGTGACAGAGGGATCAGCAGTAGCAAGGACTACATACCTAGGAGGTGGATTTGTAGCAAGCCCAAAGCTATACTTTAGTAGATTCACAGCTTGTATAGAGAGTGTGTCAAAGTCATCATGAGAGATCTGTAATATGTCATCTACAGTTACAGCATTATTTTTTATCTTAAATAAATATAACAAGCAATTCATATTCTGTGGTGACATCATTGGTGAAAATTATCACAGACGTCTATACTTACGGGTACTTGGGAGAGTATGGGTGATTCTAAATTAAGTAAGTGTTTTGCTATGGGTTGGCCATATGAATTACAAACACATCAGTATTACTGACCCCCACTTTTATGGCCAGACAATGAAATTTTTTTCATTAGCTTTTCCTTTGAATGACAGGTACTTTTAAAATTGAAGAGAGGAGTTGGGCAGTGGTGGCAGATGCTTTTAATCCCAGCACTTGGGAGGCAGAGGCAGGTGGATTGCTGTGAGTTTGAGGCCAGCCTGGTCTAAAGAACAAGAGCCAGGACAGACTCCAAAGCTGCACACAGAAATCCTTTCTCAATCCCCCCTCAAAACAAACAAACAAACAAACAAACAAACAGTGACAGGATTGAGTCAAGATGGGTGAAACACAGGGCTCCTGCAGAGGGCTAGAGGGAGACAGAGCAGTGGAGTCTCTCCTGTACTCTCTCCCCTTGGCCCTGGGAATCCTGCAGCAGACTGCACCAGAGGTCTGGAGTCACCCAGAAGGAGCCTCAGACCTGGGTGCCACAGCTGCTGCAACCCAAGCCAGAGCTGGAGTGAGGCCCTGCTGTTAGAAAGTCAGGGAAGAGTGGCTGAAAGAATGGCTCTATCTCCAGTAAATGTGCCTTGGCATGTATGTAATTTCTGTTATCAGAACCTTTTAAAAAATATTTGAAGATTGATTTAAGATGGTGACTCGTAGGGTGGGTTTTTCTTTTTTTCTTGTTCTCAACCTGGAATCTCCACTGCTGTGCAACTGCCCTCAGCCTGCAGGTGTGATGGTCATACCTACAGTGCATTCACTGAGGGCACAGAGATGTGCAGAGACCTGAAGCTCCAGTAGATTCTGTCCCCAGATGCCCTGCCTATCTGAAAGATCTCCATGTCTCTGGGCAACAAGAGCATATCCCAGACCGGTGCTAGTGATAGTGTACAATCACCCTGGCTCTGAGAAACATCAGTATGTCTGTAATGGAGACCTATTTATTTTCTTGATTGGACCTCAAAAATCCTAACACTGGCAGGATGGTNGGGTCATTTCTAGTATTTAATATTTCTTATCAATCACTTATTTCTAGGTTCACTAGCCCTTGAAAAGAGCCATGCATTTGTTCTTATCTGTTATTGGAAGAGAAAGGCAAATTTATGAAAGAAAAATGTTACTTTTTAACAAGTCCTGCATTTGGAGATTCACACACACACACACACACACACACACACACACACACAAATTACTCTATCGTGATAGACCCACAAATGAACACATCACACTGCTCCATTAGCATAGCCACTCAAACACTGGCTAAGTCCCAAGTCTTGTATATCTCACTCAACTTCCACACAGTTAGAAAAGACTTTCTGAAGCCATAAAGCTTTGGTTATGGTTTTAGACTTTCACTGTATTTGCGTTTTTATACATTTATCAGCCACAAATTGGCAAAACTACCAGGAAAGTTTAAACTAGAAAAAGAATGCTCTTTATATCCCTATTATTGGCTTATGGGCCCTTGCTACATCCTGTCCTTCCTTGTCACCTTACGTCACCCTTCCTTGTTCTCCTGTCTAAGTGTTACACCATGCTCACACTCACAGCTCTTCACACTGTGCATCCCAGGCTGGGACATGCATATGAGGGAGTGCATGGGGTCTCTTTCTTGCTGAGCTTGTGTGACATTATTTAATATTTTACTTTGTAAATCCCCAACTTTTCTACAAGTTTCAATTTCTTTATGTCTGAATAACTTTCTGCTTTACACATGTACCACATTTTCATTATCTGTTCATCGGTTGATGGACATCTAGGTCAGATCTGTTTTGCTGCTATTGTGCACAGGGCAGCAGTAGACATGGATGTGCAGGTCTCTGTGTTATGATGTAGTGTTCTCTCACATATGCCCAGGAATGGCATAGCTGAGTCCCAAAAGGTCTGTTTGTAACTTTTAAAAGGTGTCTCAATACTGGCTTTATCAGTTTATACTCCCACCAACAGTGAGTAAGTCTCCCTATTTCTGCAGAGTTCTGACATATGCTGTGAGATTTCTTGATAATTGCCATTCTGAAAGCCTCTAATGAGAGTCAGCATACATTCATATGGATTTAGTGTATACAGGACATGATACAGGAAGGCCTCAGTCAAAGTTTTGGTATCAAAAACTATTAGATCACGCCATGTTGTGCATGCTGGTATTTTGCCATATTCAAATCCATAGAAGTGAGGCGTTTTCTCTATTTGGTCATTACAAAAGCAGGATGTGATGCAGGATCATAGGAAATGAACCTGTAGAATTCCAGCCATCAGGAAGAGTCCTAGTAGGATAATAACTATGATTTCTCTAGGGTATGGTGTCTTTAGTGCCTGCACTCAGGAGGCACAGCCAGGAATTCTGAAAGAAAGAGACCCCATGCACTCCCTCCTATGCATGTCCCAGCCTATAATGTACAGTGTGATCAGCTCTGAGTGGAGCGTGGTGTAACATGTAGACAGGAGAACAAGGAAGAGTGATGTAAGGTGACAAGGAAGGACAGGATGCTGCAAAGGCCCATAAGCAATGAATAGTGCTATAAAGAACATCCAGATAGGTATAGTTCACAGAGTGAGATCCAGGCCAGGCAGGGGGACACATAGAGATTCTGTCTGCAAGCTCAAAATACAGAGAAGAGAAGTATTTTCTTAGAGTCCTACATAAAGGTTTTTGATGGGAAACCACCTTGCTAGGAGGAGTCTCTTAGTGATCAGTAATGAAAGCTACAGTCCAACACACACCTCACAGTGGAGAGTGAATGCTTAGCCAAAGAGATGAGACACAGAAATGTTTATTTATGATATGTATTTGCATTATGTCTATTTTAGTGAGAGAAAAAAACCCAACCATTCTGAGCCCTGAAGCTGGGGATGTTACCTGCCCAAGAGACTGGACTGCATTTGGGCGTAAATGTTTTTATTTGTCTGAAAACACAAGTAACTGGACATCCAGCCAGACCTCCTGCATGGAGCTGGAGGCTAATCTAACCCAAATTGACAGTCTGGAGGAGCTGGTAAGAAAGGATCGGGAATTGGTTTGTTGTTTGCTCATGTGTGCTGTGATAAGAGCGGCGAGGCTGTGTCCCCGACACCCGGCCGCCTGTATGGCTAGCTTATGCCCCAAAATAATTACACTGAAACTGTATTCTTTTAAACACTGCCTGGCCCGTTATCTGTAGCCTCTTATTGGGTAGCTCTTACATATCGATATAACCCATTTCTAATATCCCGGTAACACCAGGAGGTGTCTTACCAGGGAAGATCTTAACCTGCATCTGTGTCCGGTAGGAGAATCATGGCGACTCCTTGACTCAGCTTCTTTCTCCCGGCATTCTGTTCTGTTTACTCCGCCTACCTAAGGGTTGGCCTATCAAATGGGCCTAGGCATTTTCTTTATTAATAAGAAATCAATCCCACATCACTTGTGGAATATGTCTTGCCTTGCCATAGAGAGCTTAAAGCTGGAACATGAGGAAGGTTCCCACCCTAGGCATTGGGCACATGGGGTACATGTTAGCATGTGCCATTTGTGATGGTAACACATCTGACTGTAGCGCTGAGACATTCCAAAGATATTCTCTCTTATAGTGCTAATAATACTCAACGTGCGAGGCCAAACATACATTTGAGATTCATGGTGGTCATACAAGTCTTTGTCTGAGCCGGCGTGTGTTGCAAATTTAAGGTGACAACTGTTAATAACTGTAAATACAGACTTAACAAGGGACTTTTACAGCCCCAGAAAAAGGGGTAGCTGTCAGTTTACTATGGTTAATGACAGGAAAATGCATTCACTGAGAACTGAGAGTTATTTAGGCTCTAAAGTTCCTGGCCCTCCGTTCAAACCTGCTACCATCCCAAGAGGAGGCTGTAGGACAGAGACTCAAGGCTCATCTGAAACTGAGAGACACACGTCTTTGCTTTCTGTGTTTTTGACAGGATTTCCTGAATAGAACATATGGGCATTCTGTTGCTGCGTGGATCGGACTGCACAGAGAGTCATCAAAGCAGCCTTGGATGTGGATAGACAATACTGAATATAAGAACTTGTATGTTTTCAGAAAGCTTTTTCTTTTACTATGTTCAAGTGTTGTGATTGTGTGAGTTATTGTGCAAGCTGAAATGCTGAGTCATATGAAGAGAACTCAACTTGAAAGGGAGAAACCCTTGGGCTGGAGGTGTGCCTTGGGTCTGGTTGTATGTTACATAGAGTCTCCAGTATCCACATCTTGGCAAATTTACATCTGTCAGAGTCACCTAGTGTTGTTTCACTCCTAATCTTTAGCCTGATGATGGCATCTGGGGAAGATGCTGTCTGCTCTCAGCACTTAGAAATCTTTCCTTGCTGAAAACTGCCCTTGTGGGATGCAGACAGAACTGCTGATGGCCACTAAGGGCTCTGAATCCCCGGGAAGCCACTGCAGAACTGCTGGATAGGACTTGTCAAACAGCTGTGCGCACAGCTGCTTCTGTCACTGAAGCAGAGACTTCATGGGTTTAGGGAACCTTCTCTAAAGTCTCATCATCAAAGGGCACCCAGGACAGTGTTTGGATGTGAGCATAGCCATTTTGAACAGACCCATTCTCTGGCACAGTGAATGTCCATCATTAAAGACCTTTAGAATTAACTAAGTGCATTTTCACCCCCTTTCGTACATGTGAGAAATTCTTCAAGATAGAATTGAAAACCGCCTTGCAATGCTACCCATGGCTGAATGAAGTTCATGTGAACATGGCAGAGAGCAGCAGTCAAATGCTTTGTACACACAGTACAGGGTCCAATATGGATGAATGACAAAGGAATGGTAACCAAGTGGAACCCTGAGAATGAAAAAGTCACTAGGTGTAACACTAGTGCTGGTGGTTTCTCTTGGACTCTGCCTTTCTGTGATTAGTGCTATAAACAAGCAGTGGACATGAGTGAGATATCATTGCTGGAGGGAATGCAGTGGCCGACTCTGCAGACATTTTGTTTGTTTTTTGTTTTAGGACACTCATCCGAGGAGTTGGAAACCATGCCTACCTGAGTGACAGAGGGATCAGCAGTAGCAAGGACTACATACCTAGGAGGTGGATTTGTAGCAAGCCCAAAGCTATACTTTAGTAGATTCACAGCTTGTATAGAGAGTGTGTCAAAGTCATCATGAGAGATCTGTAATATGTCATCTACAGTTACAGCATTATTTTTTATCTTAAATAAATATAACAAGCAATTCATATTCTGTGGTGACATCATTGGTGAAAATTATCACAGACGTCTATACTTACGGGTACTTGGGAGAGTATGGGTGATTCTAAATTAAGTAAGTGTTTTGCTATGGGTTGGCCATATGAATTACAAACACATCAGTATTACTGACCCCCACTTTTATGGCCAGACAATGAAATTTTTTTCATTAGCTTTTCCTTTGAATGACAGGTACTTTTAAAATTGAAGAGAGGAGTTGGGCAGTGGTGGCAGATGCTTTTAATCCCAGCACTTGGGAGGCAGAGGCAGGTGGATTGCTGTGAGTTTGAGGCCAGCCTGGTCTAAAGAACAAGAGCCAGGACAGACTCCAAAGCTGCACACAGAAATCCTTTCTCAATCCCCCCTCAAAACAAACAAACAAACAAACAAACAAACAGTGACAGGATTGAGTCAAGATGGGTGAAACACAGGGCTCCTGCAGAGGGCTAGAGGGAGACAGAGCAGTGGAGTCTCTCCTGTACTCTCTCCCCTTGGCCCTGGGAATCCTGCAGCAGACTGCACCAGAGGTCTGGAGTCACCCAGAAGGAGCCTCAGACCTGGGTGCCACAGCTGCTGCAACCCAAGCCAGAGCTGGAGTGAGGCCCTGCTGTTAGAAAGTCAGGGAAGAGTGGCTGAAAGAATGGCTCTATCTCCAGTAAATGTGCCTTGGCATGTATGTAATTTCTGTTATCAGAACCTTTTAAAAAATATTTGAAGATTGATTTAAGATGGTGACTCGTAGGGTGGGTTTTTCTTTTTTTCTTGTTCTCAACCTGGAATCTCCACTGCTGTGCAACTGCCCTCAGCCTGCAGGTGTGATGGTCATACCTACAGTGCATTCACTGAGGGCACAGAGATGTGCAGAGACCTGAAGCTCCAGTAGATTCTGTCCCCAGATGCCCTGCCTATCTGAAAGATCTCCATGTCTCTGGGCAACAAGAGCATATCCCAGACCGGTGCTAGTGATAGTGTACAATCACCCTGGCTCTGAGAAACATCAGTATGTCTGTAATGGAGACCTATTTATTTTCTTGATTGGACCTCAAAAATCCTAACACTGGCAGGATGGT